GAAATCTCTGGGATTGGATAAAAAGTAAAATGGAGAGACACATACTTCTTTTACATTGGTGGGTACAGCATAGTTAATAGCATTTTACAGCACATACAGATAGTATTTGGGAACAAGGTAACAATGAGGGACTTTGTAGTTTCCTGCTCTGGTGCAGTGGGTTGTGCCCCCCTGGGGGAATCTGGAAAAAGAGATTACTCTGATATTGGAAGGGTATGTTATCTTAGAGGCAAAAAGATGACAGACAGGCTCCCTTAAGGTAGATTGACCTTTGTTAAGGAAGTTACAGGCCAAGGATGTGACTACTGGCCATGACTCACTTTTAGTTAGGAAATTTTATGTTCAGACCATCTTATGTGGTTATTTTTCAGCCCCTTTTCCATCCACAGGAGGCATAAATGTTTGCACCATTTTTGGTGATATTAAGCTTGGTCATTTGATCAAGGTTGTGATTGCCAGGTCTCTCCATTGTAAAGGTGACTTTCCCCTTTGAAATTAATAAGTTATCTATGGAGAGATATTTTGAGACCACATCATATTCCTCAACAAACTTTCATCCAGTGCCATCTATTGATGATCTTTGCCCCAATTATTTATTACGTTAATGGTTGGAAAATAGTGATTTCCTAATTCTATCATTCCTTCTACACTTGGCTTTTTCTTTTCCACCCCAAACAGGTTCCACCATATAGCGAAGGATTCATCAAAATTTCTCTTGAGTATGTAAACATATCTTTCATGAAGGTTCTGAAACTGCCCCTAAAGGAAGCTGTGGCAAAGACTGCTCATGGACCACTGAAATCTCTTCTTCTTCTTCTTCCCTGGCACAAGGCTAGCCTACATTCCCAGGTCCCTGGTGGTAAGATATGGGACGGGTCTAACTTCTCTCCAAGAGAATGTGATTGGAAGGAATGTGTGCCACTTCCAGGCCTTGGGATGGTGGATGCACTCCTTCCATGCTTTCTTGCCAATTACTAATTAGAACCATGGCCACGTGGCCTTGACCATGAAGGTGACAATGCCTTAGAGCAGGGGGTCAGTAAACTACAACCACTACAGGTCTGATGCCTGTTTTTGTAAATAAAGTTTTATTGGAACACGGCCACGTTCACACATGTACATGCTGCCTATAGCTGCTGTCACATAACAAATGGCAGTGTTAAGTAGTTGGGACAGAGGTTGGCCCAGAAAGCCTAAAATATTTATTGTCTGGCCACTTATAGTAAAAGGTGGCCAACCCTGCTCTAGTATATAGCAGGCACTCCTTGAGTGAGAACTGTTAACTCTTCCGTTAAATGCACCCCTTTACTTCTACCACCAAATGTACTGAGACACATCTATCTTGAAAAACAGCCTGACCCAAATACCTCCAGTTCTTTCCTTTTTTAGCTTCTCAACTTCTGGAAACACATGATTTAGTATACAAATTCCAGTAGCTTGCTTCCAGCCTTTCGCCGGCTAGTCCACCATGCACATGAATGAATCTTCCTAAAACACTATCGTAATCCCGAACTTCCTTGCTCAGGATCTCCCCGTCTCCTTCCTGCCCTGATGTCAAACCTATTGGCTCTTAACTTTCCAGAACCAGTAACCAGACCCCTCCTCCTCGGACCAAACTCAGCTCCACTCCTACCTGACAACTATATCTGGGACGAGTGTGAGATAAGTAACACACCTCAGGCTCAAAACTTAGGCAGTCACCCAGAAACTCAGTCATCAGGATAAATAATATTTTAATGCAATATTTTTAAAAATCAAAATTAACTCAAATAGGTGTATGAACAACAAAATATCTGAATTTTAGACTGGCTTTCACAATGAACCCCCCCCCCCCTTCTCTGTTCCTCCACCCAAGTTCACAGGTTCTTTGGCATGAGAAGGAGGTAATCACTCAAGATAGCTGCCCAGCTGCTCTCCGACTCAGTGACACCCACAAATCTTGAGGGATCACTCTGAATCTCCCCCACACAGATCCTTGCTACACCTCCAGCACTGGGAAAATCTTAGCTTTAGTTAATGAATAAATGTTTTGGCCGGGAGGTGTGAAGCCATCTGCTGATTCTAGAGCCACAGTGGCTTTGGTCTTACCATTTTCCATTAGCAGCAGAATCTCTTACAATCTGCTGTGTCTCCCTGTTGCCCTTGGTTGACTGTTCTTACCCGCAGTGTGCCTTCACAACTGCACTGCGTGGCAATCTCCCCTTGTGGCAGAGGAGTCTGGCTTTCATGTTTAGTCCACTCAAGAATGACCCCAGCTTTGTGTTAGTCAAATACAGATGCCAAAGGCACAGACTTTGCTTTCAAGGACCCTACAGTCTAGCAGGAAAGGTACTCAGATCAGTGTTTCTCAGAGGGAAAGGAATAAACGTGTCAGAGAAGAGGCTCAGAGAAGGTTCAGAGATGGCAGCAATGCCACCAAATTAGGGCCATTGGGGGAGGTGGCCTTCAGCTGAGTCTCTGTATTTTAAGGGATAGGGGAGGTGGGCAGGGGTGCAGTGAGAAGGGTGGGTACATTGTAAGGAGAGAGAAAAGTGAAAATCAAAGAGGAAAGGGAAATAGCTTTGTACAGTTGCTGCCAAAGACGAAGGCTGAGGGTCTAGCTGGGGCCTTCTCATGGGGGTTACAATGCTCGAGTTCCATTCCCAACACCATGGGGTTCATTGTAAGGCTAATGGTGTTTGTCTCATCGCAGTACAAATACTTTTCAAAAAGTGCTAAGTGTTGCCTCTTCTCCCTCATTCTTTCCCTGGCCAATACTTGCTTTGGGCGAGGAATCTGCTGATTAGCCATGTCCTTCACCCCAGGGCCATTCTACACTTATCTGATCTCATGAAATTAAGGGCTGTGGTTCCCCCACAGAAACAATTTCAAACATAAGACAGCAGCAGGACACAGATTTTTTTGGATAGAGGGGCCTTCCAGTGAAAGTGCTTGGCGTTGAAAATCTTTATCTACAGATAACAAACTTGGCCCGGTGAGATGTTTTTCTGAGGAACAGTCCCATGAACAGCTGTACACTTACCACATTCTCTGGGCAAATCCCAGTTTAGGGGCCCACCCCCTCCCTGCAGCAAGCAGTTACAATCATGGGGTACAGCTTTAAAGGTGCAGCCATGTCCCAAAAGCCGTGCTTGGGGGTAGTGGGGAGCACACTGTTGCCAGGCCCCTCCTGGGTACAGCTGAGTAAGGAGTGCTCCAGTCTGCCCCCGAGGGGCCCTGTGGAGGCCAGAACTTGTATTCTGACAATGTTCACCCACCCATGACGTTCATCCCTGGCTCACCGCCCAGAAGGGACCTCCACCTCCCTCTCCTGCTCTGATCGTCCTCCCTAGGAAACACCCTCCTCCTCTCCAGAGCCCAAACCCCTCTACTGTGGAGCTAACAAACCCCTCCACACCCTCAGCCTTCACCTACAGTAACTGACACGTGGCTGCCCCTGCCCCTCAAGGTCTCAGCTTCCCCGCAACTCTCTCCAGCGTAGGGTGTTCATTTTCTCACACTCCACAAGCTCAGGGTCAGGAGGTGGGGCCACCGAGCCTCCCTGCTTCCCAAGGCCACATCCACCCGTTTCCTCTCCACTCTCTGAGGTTGAAGCCATACCTCAGCCCATGCACACGTTCCTCCTGGTTACTCCGCTTATATACCCAAGACTTTGGCAATGGGCTCACAGTCTTCTCTCCACCCAGCTGCCACCACCATCCTAGGTGGCCTTTGCAGTCGATCTATCCCACACCTAACCCTAATCCTTCCATTCTCTCCAGCCCCTTGGGGGACCGGAGCCACATTTCCTGCCCTCTTCCTCCTGTAATGCACTACCTCTCCCCTGTCTCAGAAACTTCCAACAGCATCTGAGCAAGTGAAAGTGCTCTAGTCTCTCTCATCTGAAAAGTAAATAAGCCCTCTCTTGAGCACATCTCCCTCCAGCTACTGCCCCATCTCTCCGTCCCCTTCACAACCAGGTATCTACACTCCCTGCCTCCATCTCCCACCTTCCTTACTCCTGGCCCTGCTGTCTTCTGGCTCCTGCCTTCGCCACGTCACAACTGCTCTAACAGGGCCACAACTGTACCACTCAGTGTTGCTCTGACATAGCTGACCCTCTTTCTGTCCCTGTGTTTCTGTTATCCTGTTATCCACCTATATCTCAGCCCCCTCCTTGGAGGAACCCTGAACTTCACCTCCTATCAAACACTAATGCCTCACAAATCTACATCTCGAGACATCAGACTTCTAGACTTCACTCGGATGCTGCAGAGACTGTTTAATGTCAACATGGCCAGAACCAAATTGCCTTCTCTTCAATTCCCCCTTTTTGTCCCTCTTTTCCGCAAATGGCAGCCCCATCCAGAGCAAACCTGGGCCCAGCATACAGAGATCAGTGTTCGCTGAATGAATAAAGGAATCCCTGATCCTCCCTTATTCTCAACAGCCAGTCACCAAGACCTATCAATTTTGCTCTCTGCTTTTCTTTTTTTTTTTTTTAATTGAGGCTGGCTGCCTCCTACGCATCCTTGGGAAGGCTTCCGGGACTCTTCAACTCCGGCGGGACAGAGATCTTACCCCGTGTTCCCACGGCCCGTGACTGCCGCGCCACAGCGCGGATCACAACGCACTGTCCGGCCGGCTCTAGTCTGTGACACCCTCCCCGACTGTATCTCCATAAGCGCCCACCTCCCAGCACCCAGTAGGCGCTTGGTAAGCTGCAGAGGGAGTGAATGGAGCGCTGATCGAAAGGCGCCACAGTGGACAGCAGCCGCTAAGCCCAGTGCCCCACGCGGCGGGCGGTGACAGACCCATTCGGGGCCGCCCCCCGTTCGTACGGCACGCCCTTGTCCCACGCGGCACTCCTGGTGGCCAATAGAAACGATCTGCGGGGCACTTCTCGCTATACACGCTATACACATTCAAGTCCGTGGAGGTTCCGGGAGGAGGTCCCGCCTCTCCCAGTCAGCCAATGGGAGAGGCCTGCGTAGCCCTAAGGGAGGCTGGGGCGGGCGCCTGGGGTCGGGGTCCCGGGGCTACGCGTTGCTGGGTCCTTATTCCTACGTCGACCGTCTCAGCGAGCGAAACTTGGGCTCCTACCCGGGCCAGCTAACGGATGATGAGGACTCTGAGCGCCAGGCGCGGCCTGGAGTGGCTGCTGGGCCTCTACTTCCTCTCCCACGTCCCCATCACCCTGCTCGTGGACATGCAGGCGGTGCTGCCGCGCGAACTCTACCCGGTCGAGGTGAGGGCGCCCGTCGGTCCCCACGGAGTGTGGGGCCCCTCCCCGCGCTACGGTTGTGCCCTGGCGTCCCCATGACTTGCCCTCCTCCGCCCTCGGTTCCCCCCTCGCCCACCCAAAGCCGCATGCAGTTCTTCCTTCCTTAGGTCTTGCGGGTGCTCCGGCCCCTCCTTACTCTTCAACTCGACATCTTCCCGGGCATTTTCTTTGTCTGTCCCAGACCCTTCCCCCAAGCTACTGGGAGCAAACACTGTTCCTTGTAAAAGCAGCTCTTCCCCGGTATGTTTAAGGCTCTTACACTCCATTTCTGTGGTCAGCTGTCAGTATTTAAGTAGCCTGGATGAAATCAGTGTCTAAATCACGTGTTGGTTTTAACTTTGTGTTTCTTCGAAGAACTTTAAAATACCGTTTAATCCCAAAGAAATAATTCAAGTAGAATTAGACCCGTCTAAAGGGCATTCGCAGATCGTCATTACTTCAAGATCAGGATCCAGCAACTTCAAAAGCTTAGAAGTAAACTAACGACACCTTTTCAAATGCGCCCTTTCCAGTAAGAATGATCACCAGAGTAGAAATAGAGGTGAAAAGCCTCATTTTCCTGCTTGTTGGAGAGCATTCTTCACCCCGAACTTGACTTGAATGCATTTTATTTCTTCAGGAATTTTATTTTCTCGGTCTTTTCATGCCTGGACCCTGTGTAACTTTCTTCCATGGAATTCCCATCTTCAGTTCTATGTTATCTCCAATCTGTCTGCACTTGCCTACAGTTCTACAGACTGATTTGTCAACCTATAGATTTAATCTTCCCCGTTTCTTCTTAAATGCTTTTTCTGTGCAGAACAAAGTTTCTTAACCGGAGGTCCATGAACCCCTGATAGTGTAGGCAAAATGGTGTTTGCCTTGTGTTTTCTGGGAGGAGAGCCTGTAGTTTCCATCAACTTTACCAGGGATCTAACCCTCCCCAAAAGGTTAGGAGCCACTGCTCTACGTACACCCACTCCATGTTTGTGTCTAAATCCTAGCATAACTGGGAAGATCTCTGACCTACCTTTCCTTGGGAAATGTGTAGATAAGGTGTGGCTTAGCACATTGGATTGCAGTTTGGGGACTGGGTCATTCCAAAAACTGCTTGAGTGTCTTTGGTAAGTCAGGGCTCTAGCCTCAGTTGTCAGGTAAGAGAAAGTTGGGTTAAATTACAAACTTAAGTATACACAGAGTGTATTAGTTTCCTGTTGCTGCTGTAACAAATTACCAAAAACATAGTGGCTTAAAACAACACAGATTTATTCCCTTATAGTTCTGGAGGTCAGAAGTTCAAAATGAATCTTGCTGGGCCGGTTCCTTCTGAAGGTCTAGAACAGGGGTTGGCAAACTGCGGCTCGCGAGCCACATGTGGCTTTTTGGGTACGTTCTGTCTCAAAAGTTTGCCGACCCCTGGAAGAGCCAATCCTGCCCCTCACAACAATTTAAAAATTATTCAAGAGCCATAAATATATTTGTACAAATAAGGAAAATTTAAAGTAATATTATAAATGAAACTATGATAGTTTTATTTTCAATTTTACTTCACAGCCTGTGGTTCATGAGCCGCAGTTTGCTGACCGCTGGTGGCTTTTCCGTCTCAAAAGTTTGCCGACCCCTGGTCTAGTAGAGACTCATCTGTTCTTTGCCTCTTCCAGTTGCTAGTGGCTACCAGTGTTCCTTGGCTTGTGACCACATCACTTCAATCTCTGCTTCTGTCATCACTTTACTTTGTTGCCTTTTCTTCTATAGTTCAATCTCCCTTTGCCCTACTTTTATAAGGACACTTGTGTTTACCTTTAGGGCCCACCAGGATAATCTCCCTGTCTCAAGATCCTTAATTTAATCACAACTGCAGAGTCTTTTTTGCCAAGTAAGGTTATTACATTCACAGGTTCCAGGGATTAGGATGTGGATATCTTTGGAGGCCACTATTCAGCCTACCACACAGCCCCAGGTAGTACATACTCTTTCTAAACAGGTCGTCCAAACTCTGCATTAGCTATTAGTTACCTTGAAGAAAGTCTGTGTGGCCAAAAAACTCAGGCAGGCCGCCTGTTTACAATCTGTGATATTGAGTCCCTTTAATACTAAGCAAATATGTTACTCCAGGTTATTCCAGACTTAACAGCTGCTGTTTTCTTTATCTTTTCTGAATGTGCCATTCCCACAAGTCCTTGCTCACCACTAATACAGTTAAAATGTGTCCAGCATCATAAATATCCCATTTAAATTTATAGATTTGATTTGGTCAAGTTTTCTCAGCTTTATTTAATGTTGATTTATTATAAAATGTCAAGGGCCAGTACAGGCAGGATCTGGCCAGAAACTGTGTGTGTGTGTGTGTGTGTGTGTGTGTGTGTGTGTGTGTGTATCTGTGTATATGTATATCTATTTTGAAGGTGTCAGCAACATGGGCATCTTGGCTGGCAAGGCCTGGGTCGCTAGTCACTCTTGTGGCTCTGAGGTGGGGAAATGATGGTTGATTGCTTCTCCATAAGGAAAATAATAAAAACCTTGAGTTATTCTCATATTCTCTTTGATAATTTGCCAAAATTTAACATCTGTTGTTTTTTTCCTCCTTAAATAGAAGGGATTTTCCCCTAGAACTAAAAAGTGTATGGAGCACACAGTGTTTGGGCTAAAATTTGCAAATATCTTTCTTGGTTTGAATCAGATCAACACTTGGAAAAACTCTTACTATGAAACAGGAAGAATTTAGTTTGGATTAAAATATGAAGAAGGTGGGAAGCATTTTGGAGTATCATTTGCAGTTGGGTATCATTGCTTCTGTTAAAATAAGGAAAAATGGGTGAGCATCTAGGTCTGAAATCAATCTGTGCTCTCATTCTAAGTTCAAGAAGTGCAAAATGTTCATCTGGTTTATTGGGCTGTTGGGAAAGTCATGACGTAGTTTTTCTGTTTTTCATTGCAAAAATGCGTCATGCCTTTTTCGACAACCCAATAGAATTCCATGTGCGCAGGCCAGGTAAATGTTTTTAATGGATAAGAATGGTAAATTGAATCAAATGTGACTCAGGTATAGATGGAAACAGTTTTGTTTTGTTTTGTTTTAAATAAATTTTATTGGGGAACAGCCATGGTCATTGGTTACACATTGCTTTCATGCTCCAATGGCATAGTTGACTCTTTTAGGGAGAGCACAGCTCACAGTGGCCCACGTGGGGACCGAACCGGCAACCTTGGCATTATCAGCACCACGCTCTAACCAGCTGAGCTAACCGGTCACCCCCTAGATGGAAACAGTTTTATTACCTTTCTTGGGGTCTTATTAACTAATAAGAATAATTCTTACTAATGACCAGTTGCATGCCAGAGATCTTTAATAGAATTAAACTTGAACTTCTCCAAATACGTATTACATTCAATTAAGTAATTTTTATGTGCTAGCCATTGTTCTAAAGGCTGTATTAACTCATTTTATCTTCCCAACAGTGAAATAGGTACTGTAACTGGGAAATGAGCTTAGTGAGTGCTTTTTGCCCAGAGCCAGGCACTCTGCCCCCAGGTCCCACGCTCTTCATTCTGCTGAGGGCCTGTGCCTGGCCTTCCATCAGCCCTCATCCTGGCATCAGGTGGCTTTTATGTGAGTGTGGACAAGTGTTTGGGCTCTAATTGATTACTACGGGAGCTGGATGGTTATTTTAAATTTTGCTAATCTCATCCTGCAGCCCTTAGAAATTATAGTGCTGTACAAATCTGCCTGGATTTATGAAATAGGTGGATCTGAGAGATTATATACAAATTGAATAGGAAATTATATTCAAATGAACCAGGATGCCTTTTAAATTCTGCGGTAACTCTTTTTACCACAGAAAAGCAGGTTGTTCCCTACAGTATTTTTTTTTTTTTTTTTTTTTTAGGAAATCTAGAAAACAAAAAGGGATCTTACAAAAAAATTTAGTCCAAGTTGCTTGTTTTAGGAAATAGAGCCCAGGAGAGGTACAGCGACTTAACCTTTATGAATACTTTCTCCCATATTATCATCCTGAAAAGTGCTTACTTAGAAGGAAGCTAAGGGTATTGCCATGAATTTAAATTTCAAGTCAAGTACAAATTAGAGATCACTTGGTCAATAAACTGGTTATCTAGCCAGAGCCTTTCCAAAATTAACATGATAACAGAGTGTTTCTGTATATTTGCTTAAAGCTCACTTGTACCAATGAGGCCTCTATTTAACAATAATGAGCCTTTATCTTCTGATTAAAAATTAACAGGGAAAATATCTTTGGATTTTCCACTGTAAGCTAAATTTTACCTTGGAAGTTGCCTTTATCATAATATAGACATATATGAGTATTGGGCTTTGAAGGCAGGTGTGTCAACATAATGCCATCTCCGGGGGGTTAAATGCAGTGGACCTTCAGTAGTCCACGTGGCATGGACAGCCCTAGGCTTTTTTTTTTTTTTGGTCTCTTAAAACAGCACAAAATGGGCAGCCTCAAACCCTCCTACTCCCCTCCTCCACGGGTAGCCATGTCAGCATGAATCTGTGTCTTGATTTGACAGCTCCATTACGAGGGTGGGGCCCAAGTTAGAACTGAGATTGCTAACACAAGCTTTGATTTAGCCAAGAAGCTATATAGTTTGTGGTTTGGGGCAGAGGTTGCTCTTCTACAAATATCCTACTGGTCTCCTAAAAGAAAAAACTTGAGACCTAGGGGAGTTAAGAGTGATGAACTTGAGATTGGGGATTATTTAAATTGTCTAAAATTGCATCTTCACAGAGGTTCAATTTATCTCTCACCACCCTCAAAAAAAAAGACAAACTCAATTCATTTCTGTATTTGAGGAAATCTGGCCCTCCAAGCTTGGTGTGCAATTACTATTGTGAAAGGACAAATGTCAGGATGGTTTTCACATGTCATTTCTTTCTAAAGCATGATATTGTTGGCAGATATATCATGTTTGTGTGTTCATTCAGCAAACTAAGGGCCTACTGAGTACCAAATATTGTTGCTTTTGACAATGGGCAACACACTCAGCTACATGTTAATCATGGAGTCACACACACATACTGGGTGGCACAAAGGGGCCAGGAGAGCTGACCAAAGCTTCTGAGACAAGGCAACATTTAGAACTAGTGCATTTTTATTAAACGATCATCTAGGCTGCATCACAAAAGCCATCTGTGTGTGCCATCTGCTGCCAAGGGAGTGGTGTAACGACACTCTTCCAGTGGGTTGGAGCTGCTGAGCGTATCCTGCCAGGTGGCTATATTCATCGTGATCTTTAACTTTTTCCAGGTGAGAAACCTGGTGACGTGGTATGCTAAGGAGTTCAAAGACCCTCTGCTACAGAACCCCCCACCATGGTTTAAGTCCTTCCTGTTTTGCGAGCTTGTGTTTCAGCTGCCTTTCTTTCCCATTGCAACATATGCCTTCTTCAAAGGTTGGTAAATGGTGGGGAAATCCCATTTTTTGCTCTGAAATCAGGTCCCAGAAATCTTTTGGGAAAGTATCTCCAAGGGAGAGGGGTGGTCCCTGTAGTTTGTGAGGGTTTTATAGGATAAGGTGGGAAAGGCCAGGATAGCTCCTGTAAAGGGACATTAAGGTGGCTCAGGCTGATGTTTGTGGTCAGCTGGGCTGCATGACTGCCTCAGCCAACTGGAAATCTCTCATACACGTGAAACCTGAGGCTACTTAAGGATTCAACTTGATACTTTTTATTGTGTCTTTGTTTTTTTTTCTCCTCACATAATTTTTTATTGTTGGCTTTCATTTTTCTGCTTTAGGTAGTATCATACTAGCTTATAAGCAATAGCATAAAGCTAATTCCTAAAGGGCTTAACTTCTTGTTTAAAAATGATTCTTATACTGTCTCCATATGACTAATGCTTTCTATAAAGGAAGTGGTCATACCAATGTATTTGGTGACTAAGCTTCCACAGCTTATTTCCCATTGGAGCCCCCAAATTAATCTCTTGGCAGAATCTGTTGGTCTTCTCACCTATATATACTATAGTTACTTAAACAGATGCTGCTGGCAGCCCCTAACCCCTGCCTTTAGACCAAACAGGTTTAACTGGTAATGGCCATTTTACTGCCCTAGTTTTTCTGAATTAAATTCCAACGCCTACCCTTGGTTCTTTAGCAGTCAGTGTGCCAGGGCCTTGGCTGTCACAGAAGTTTGTGCAGTTGGGCGGTATATATACATAGCACATCTGATTTTCCATTTAGTGCCACTTGGAAAAGGAGGTAGAATGATTCAGCGGGAGGGAGCAGGCAGAGACAGCGTGGGGAATGTCATGGGCATCCCTGGAGTCATGAACAGAACTAACGCTTCTCTCTTTCTCTTCCCGACTTCAGGAAGCTGCAAGTGGATCCGCATCCCCGCAATCGTCTACTCGGTTCACACCATGACAACTCTAATTCCGATTCTCTCCACATTTCTGTATGAGGATTTCTCCAAAGCCAATGGTGTCAAAGCACAAGGACCTAAGACTTTCCATGAACGACTAACCCTCATAGCTATCTATGCCCCCTACTTTCTCATCCCTCTTATGCTTCTGCTTTTCATGTTGCGGAGCCCCTACTACAAGTATGAGGAGAAAAGAAAGAAAAAATGAGAGAGAGAACCATTGTCCCAGGGGAGAGATACCCAGAAGGCAGTTTCTTATTGGACCCAGTACAAGGAAAACTGCTCAGAAACCATGTCTTCAGTAGCATTTGAAACACACAGCAGCAACACACAAGAGCAAGACACTGGCAGGAGCCACCTCAGACTGTCACCTTCCAAGGTCACTGGCACAAACAGACCCATCACCTGAGGATGGGCTGAGGGATATGGGCTAGATTATAGGGAAGTGGTGCAAATACCTCCCAGTGTGCCACATTGCAGTTCCATTGCAGGATCACTGAAAGCAAGACTAGAAACTGGACAGACTTCCAACAAACATGGCCTGCCTGGCATGTTCAGGAATCATAGGACCCACAATATACATGTGACTAAACCCTCGACTCATGATTCTCTATAGCTTATCACTAATGAGCAAAATGAATAGTGCGATGTTTTAGGCCATTTTAAAGTTTGAAATTATGCCTTTTTAATATTCATTAAAAACGATCATGGTTTCTTGCCCTCACCCTGGGAAAGGAGCAGGGTAACATTCTGCAAGAGGTTGAAACAGTTTTCCTTAATGTTCAGCCCCAGCATGAATATCAATCAGAAACAGGAAACTGGAAGGTGTTTTATTTCTGTCTTAAACAGCTCGTCCCAGTAGCAGAGATTTTTTAGTCTCCTTGTTTATCCTCTTTCCAAACCTTAGTCTTCTATATTTTTACAGACCACTTGACAGAAGTTGCTTTAGTCAGAAATCTGATGTCTCAAACCTGATCTGGACATGTGCTTCCCACTGGATAACTTCATCCTTCCTAATAGTTTAATCATTCCTTCCTGTCTTAGTCAAAGTGAGGGGACAGCTGAGTATGACATATCCAGTGCGTGCATCATATAGGGTCTCTTCACATTAGTACTTGGTGTTCTATTAGCTTTCTCTAAATTTATACACAAGGCCAACTCAAAAATAAAATTTGTGAACACACATGGAAAACAGTAAAAACTGGTCCCAATTAGGTCCCCCTTTTTGCCTGTTCTGCTCAGAAGCTGTACTGCTCTCTCAGGAGTATCCTCTGACTCATGTGTCTGGGCCAAATAAAGGTAGCTGCTGACCACTGCCTGGTTTGTTTTGTGGACTAGAGGCTAGAGAGTCCAAGGTTCTTTTACAAGGGGTTAAGCGTACACTTTAAGGGCACCAGGAAGAGATAAGCCATTTGAAAACAATAATTTATTGCTTTTTCTTCCAAAGCTTGGTAAATTTACAAAAAATAATAATAATAAAGGATCAAAGTTTACAGACTGCTCAGGTTAGACTAATTTGCAAGAGGGGAGAACCTCGGCTACTGAGGTCACTGGGTGTTTACCAGATGTGCACTGACATTTGAAACAAACCCCCAGATTTGTTTTATTGCCTTCAGAGATGCTGCATTTCTTATACACCATCTCACATGACATACTTGGGTCATTGATCAAAGTCACTGGAATGGTACAGAAGTTTTTTTTTCTTTTTTGCCCTCCTACAAAATGAAATTTTCAGTTCATTTCTGAAAAATAAATTGGTCAATAAATTCATTTTGTTCTGCTTCTACTTTACACAAAGCTTCATATTCAACCCGATACCTGAAAAACAAAATTGTTAGAAGCCCTAAAAATGGATGAAATAAACCATGGACTTAATTCTAGAGAGGAATAGAGGTGATTTAAGTGATTCCAAGAAATGGTCTGAGTTCAGAATGAAGAAGTTAGGGCAAGAAAGAGAAAAAAAGTAGGTGCAAAGCCCTACCCAGGGCCACCCATAAGAAATCTCTGGCCTTGAGAGGGTCTGTTCCTTTCAGAGAGCCGGCCAGCCACCTGGACACTCGCTACCTGATCTTTCATGCTCTCTACTAGAGGTGGTGTGACATGAACAAATTTTCTATTTCCTTCCCATTAAGTGTAATTTTACTTTATTTTTTAAATCTTCATATCAAGATGACAAGTGAGACACTTCCTGGGAGAACTATGATGAAGGACAAGAGGTGACCATTAAGGAAAAAGAGAATTGCAGTTGAATCAAGAACTTGCTTTATGTAAGTTCTTACCTTTCGAGCTGCATTTTCTTTTCTGCTATTAGTGCTTGGAGTTGCTGCTGTTGGGCTTCCCTCTGCTTTGCTATAGATTTGAGCAAGTTCCGAGCACCAATGGCCTAGAAAAACAGTATTGCCAAAGAAGGTCATGGCTCCTTTCAAATCATCTTCAGCATTAAGTCCACAACTGGGTAAGGGCCACTTGGGTAAAAGGTCAAGTCCCAGAGCTTTGGGAGTAAGAAGGAAGATGAACCTTATGATCCCAAAGTGCCTGATGAGAACGACTACAGCTGGGAGGCAGATCTAGGTGGACCCCCGAGTCTGGCATATAGGTGTTCAGTGGCCCATCTGGTGTGCCATTTAGCCTTGTATTCTTTGCCAAGTCATCTATACTCTGCCCTTCTTCATCATTTATAAAATGAGGGTAAAACCATCTAAGTGACAATTACAGGAAATAATGACTAAAAGTGTACTGGCATATGAGTTTCATAGGTTATTTGGATCAGAAATTGTTGGATTTTTTTAAAATTGTATAATTGGCATACATATAACATGTTTCAGGTGTACAACATAATGAATCAATACTTGTATAGGAAATGTTATTTAAAATCTTGTTTTAATTAAATAAAAGAATCTGCCCCTCCCCCCAAAAAAACAAGTCAAGAGGGCAGAAGTATGAGAGGCTAGTGAACAAGGGTCCCAGGCCAAGATCTGAACAAAACACATGTTGGTCTTACCTTCATCTTCTCATTTTCTGCTTCTTTTGCAAGTTGGTCAACAAGCTCAATTAAACCACCAACTATTTTCTGAAATTGGCCAATTTCTTTTGGGGAAAGAAAAAGAAAATGTTTTTATTTTCTCAGTGTCATTACTCTCCCTAAACGTTCCCTTGCAGCGAGAGGGCAGGACTAACGGCCCCTTCTAATTGGTGTCAAAACAATTTGGTGCATGCTGGCCTAAAGTCTGCTGCCCTTGGTCTGAACCTAGAGATGGGTAGCCAGGTGCCCAGAGCTGGCTGGGCACACCAGGACCTTGAGTCCCCACTGAGCCAGTCAGATGCTGTTACCTCAAGCTAGGACGGCTCCCGGTAGGCCCATTCTGTGGATGGACCACATCCTGCTTTCCGAGGAGTGACAGGAAACATACAGGGCCATGGTAATGAGAGGACTGCCTCGGGACGACTAGCCACAGAGAAGACACTAGATTTCAGTTAATGGTGGGGTGGCGGATTTCTACCTGTGACCAGAGCTCATAAAGAGCTCAAAACATGCTTACTCTCCCATTCCCTTTTTTTTTTCAATATCCTTGGGTGTGGTGGAACCCCATTCTACTCAGGAGTAAACTACAGCCCTAGAGGTGGGACAATGTTCACACAGCAATCAGGAAGCTGGTGATAGAACCTATGATACCTTTCACCAGGCAAGCTCTCTCCACAGCCTTGAGTCCCCAGAAGGCTCAGCTCCCTGCTCTAGCTAGATCTGCTCTATACTCACTGCCAGGCTGGCTGCTGGGCTAGGAGGTGCCCTGGATATCTCTAGTTGAAAAATGACTTCATGGAGTCTGTTGAGTTGCTTCTAGAGGCTCCGGTTAATCAACTTTCACTCCCAATAATGGCAAGCCTACCACTGAGAACGCTATTTCTCCCAAGAAATCAAATCATCAGTACATAATCCTATTTCCCACTCCCAAACCATACTTCTGCTCCCATGAAGTTTTAAGTTTCTGAAAGTAAAAAAAAAAAAAATCAAAGATGGCATATCTCGCAAAACACCGGAGTCTCTGCATTCGAGTGTCTATTTTGATTGGTGCTCCTTGTGGGACTACATAAGAGCATATGAAGAGGACAGGCAGAGAAGGTGGGTGGCACATGGGAATTCATAAAGACCAGCCAGCACCTCCATTCTGGCAGGGCCCAGAGAGGCAGTCAGGAGGTGGAGGTGGGGCACTGTTGGAATAGTTCAAAGCTGAGTGGCAACATGTCTCCCCAAATGACACTCACTGTCCACAAAGTCCTTGCACTCTTCCTTGAGCTCTGTAGTCTGCTGGGTAACCTCTGGGTCCAATACCCGCAGCTTGTTCAGCTCATCAAAGTGCAGCCCTGCTTCACCCAGGATGTCCTTGGCCATAGCTGTAAAGAAACAACCCCAATCCCTGATCACTTCCCAGCCACCCAAGGAATGCCTGCTTCCAGCCCAGCCCAGCCCCACTCCTGCCTCCAGACACCAACACCAAAACCCCAGATGTACCAAAGGCTCCCCCTTTCCACTGCCTCCACCTCTCTAAGCCTCACCTGTTTCCCTTCTGGTTTCCCTAGAGAAGAGAAGATCTGCTCTGAAGGAGTGACAGTGGCAGCCAGGAGGAGGTGTGTCATAGGAGCAAGGGTCAGGAAAGAATAAAGTCCAGTTGCTTGTCACAGGCATCGTTCATTCAACACATATTTCTTGAGTGCCTACGACATGCCAACACTGCTAGATGCTGGGGGTACAAAGATGGGCGCAACATGGTGCTCGCCCTGGAGGAGCACACAGTTTAGCTGGAGGAAGACAGACATGTGAACTGAAAAATTACACCGTGTTAAATGCTTTTACAGAAATATTACTAAAGTATTGGAGAAGAACAGAGCAGTTAACTTGGGGTGAGGGAGCTGACATTTGCAGTAACTTGTCTGCCATAAGCATATTTGTTTATCCCCAGTCACACTCCCAAAAGGACATGAAAAAGCTTTTCAAATACAGTACTGGAACAATACAAAGAAGCAAGTAAAAGAAAATCTGAGTGAATAAAAATTAGGGTTAAAAAAAATAAGAAGCCAGGAGTAAGAATATTACCCAAAATGTATGCCATAGGATATACTGTACACTTGCCTGAACTAGGACCCAAAGTTGGGTCAGTCTCTTTCTAGCAGAAAACACAAAAAGTAACGAAGTATCAGCGACAACATATCAAGTAAGGAAGTCAGGGAAAGTCATTCCAAGCAGAGAAAACAGCATGAACAGAGCCTGAAGTCACTGAAAGAGCCTATCCTGCCTAGAAGTTGAAAGGACAGAGGACAGAGCTGGAAAGGTCACACGGAGTCAGATTAGAAAGACCTTGGATGCCAAGCTAGAGAATTTGGGGGTTTTCTGTAGACAAGAGAACCAGCAGAGATATTTTCTCCCTTCTCAGGCCACCTTGCATCCCTGATCCAAAGGATGCCTCATTCTGGCTTAAAAATAACAACCCCAAAAATTGAGACCACATGCCCTGTAGCAGCGGTTCTCAACCTTCCTAATGCCGCGACCCCTTAATACAGTTCCTCATGCTGTGGTGACCCCCAACCATAAAATTATCTTCGTTGCTACTCTATAACTGTAATTTTGCTACTGTTATGAATCGTAATGTAAATATCTTTTTGTTTTCCGATGGTCTTAGGCGACCCCTGTGAAAGGGTTGTTAGACCTCCAAAGGGGTCGCGACCCACAGGTTGAGAACTGCTGGATTAGAGGGAACAGGAGGGTGGGGCTACGCCTACTTTGTTCATCATTGTAACCCTAGCATCTAGCATGGGGCCTGCACGTGAATGGCACTCAACAATTGTTTGTGGAATGAATGGCTGAAAACAGGAGGCTATTACAGTAACCAAGGCTTAGAGCCGAAGAAAGGTGTTCCAATTTGAGATGTTCTGTAAGTCGAGTTGTTAGGACTTAGTAAAGGATTGACTGAATATAGGGGTTTGGGGCTGAGTGAAAGAGTCAGACAAGAGTCCCATTTCTGGCTTGAGACAACTGCATACCTAGAGGGAATAGATGAATGAGATAAGACCAGAAACGGTTCACAGCCGACTATCAGATTCGCTCCCAACTCCCACCACACACACACGTGTGTGAGCATCTGAGGTACACCGGGCACAGACGCCAGACCGAGCTCCCCGGAGATGAGGATGAGGGCGGTTACACTCTCTCCGCCCGACTCTCCCAGATCCACGCTAGGCACTACCAGCAGGCTCCATCCACGGGGTGTGGGGAAAGGCACTGGGAAGAAAGTCAGAAAGATCTGGGTGATGGAGCCGGCTGTCTGCACTATGTAAACTTCTTGAACTCATCTGGATCGCAGTTTCCTCATAAGACTGTTGCCAGCATAAACGCGCAAAGCTCCAGGCCCAAGCTGGGTGTAAAACCCCTCCCAAAGAGTCGGGCGGAATGCCCACGTTTCTTTCTGCCTGGGACAGCCTTTCCTTAGGGCACGGGCCTGTCAGGTTCATCTCGCCCCGGTTCCGCCCGCGTCCCCCTACCCACCGAGTCACGGCTTACCTCCCGAGCTTCTCTTCCTAGTCCACGGCAGCGGTACCTAGCTCGCCCGCTTCAGCCGCTGCCACGGCTGCAGAACCTGTTTACACATTGCATCACTACCTGACACCGGAAGCACTTACACCCACTAACCCGCAGAGCCTGCTGGGAAACAGAGGCCCGAGAAGAAAGACGGCTGCCTACAAGATCCAGAGGCCTTTGCACCGGAAAAGCTTCCGGAAGTAGCTGTGCACTTACACGGAATTCTCTCAAGAGCTCTTCCCTCTCCCCTGATTGGGTGCCGGGCATCCCTGGCTTTATAATCTCAGGGTCGTAGGCCGGCCCAGCTGGGCGGTAATTCGAGGCGGAGTCCGTGGTCGGAGGGTGTGAGTGTACAGCCCGGGATTGCTGGCAGGCAGGGCCCGCAGCCTAGGGGCGGCACGATTTCGGCTTGCACCAAGCTGAGAGGAGAGGCGCCCCCAGGGACGGTGAGAACCGGGTTTGCCGATACCCTGGGGAAAGGGATGGATGGGCCCCGGGCTGGAGCAAAGAGAACCCCACCTGGACCTGGGGAAAAGGCGAGAGACGGCGTAAGGGAGAGGGAGAGCTCAAATTCCCAACCTAGGTTTTGTCAGAACCGGTCTCGGTTTCTCGCTAGTAAGGAGGAGTACGGGCTGGGGAAGACTACACTGACCACAGAGAGGTCGGGTTTCCCTAAATTTCTCCAGACCCTTTGGATGAAGCCTAAGATTTTTACACCTAGGATTTCATCTAGACCCATTCTCCGTAACCAAGATCGGCTCTCTCCCCACTCCCCGTTTCCCCCATGTGTGACGGATTTCTGCGTCTTCCTTTAGGACCCCACCTCCTTCCATAGCCGTGATTGTTTGCCTTTTATTTTACTTGGGTTCCCCTTAGCTTCGCTGAGTGAGACACGGATACGCCCCTAGCTTCAGGCATCCCCAAATATCCACACACAAAGTCCGGAAGGAAGAGCAGTGAGGCTACCAGTGGAAACTTCATTCTCACTGGAATTACTTTCTGGGGCGTCACCTGCCAAAGAATTCCTGGAACCCATTGGTCTGGGCAGAATCTGAGCTGACGTCATCCAAGGGCTCCTAGAAATTGCTTTGTAGGAAAGGAATAGATTAGCTCTGGATTTGTCTTCCTCTGTTGGCAAGCAACTTGCTTTTGAGTTCCTTTGCTTTGGCAGAATTTGTATGTGAGCTTTCTTTGATCCTGGGGAAATTGGGGCGGATACAAAATAAGTAGGAACTTGTTAAAACCTGTTAAGGGCTGGATGTATTCCTATGGGGTGGGCTGAGGAAGGTAAGGTGATCTCATACTAGTGTTACTGATTGATTGGGCAATCTTCTGGTAAGGGTTCATTCCATCCTTGAGGCAAATGAGTCTCCTGGACAAGCTGTCAAAGGAATTCAGTATTTCACACAGCACCTGCTCTGGCCCTTCCTTGGACATTCTTCCCAGGGCCCTACTACCTAAGTCTTTTCAGGGACAATTCCAGTATAACAAACCGACATATGTTAAATACTTTAAAATGTGTATGGCATTGTGCTAAGCACTTTGGAGAATGGAGCAGTAAACTTGGGAAAACCAGTGCACTGCTTTTGGGTTGCACTTATAAGAGATGTTGGCAACTGTAAACTTTTGCATGTTGTGATGATTAAATGAAGTAATTCCACTTTTTTCTGCCTCAATTATCGCCGTAGCCTTCACCATCTCTTGCCTAAACTACTGCTTCCTCTGGTCTTCTCTGGTCTTCCCACTTGCTCTCTTGAACCCTTACAATCCATTCTTTACACAGCAGCCAGAGTGATCTTTTCAAAATATAAATAACTCAGATCGTGTCACTCCCCTATTTAAAACTCTCCAGTCGATTCCCATTGCAATTGGTATAAAATCCAAACTCTTTAATAAGATCTTGGCCTCTGCCTTCCCATTACAGCAGGCCAACTTCCCCCTTCTTTCTGTGCACCAGACAGCTTGGCCTTATTTTTGTTCCTAAGATGTGTGTCTAACTGAGGAATTTGGCACGTACCCTTCCATCTGTCTGGAATACTCCTTCAGACCTCAGCTGGAATGTCACCTTCACAAAGAGGCTTTCCCTGGCCCTCTAGCTAGATTAGTGCCTCTCCCTAGTCACTTTCTTATCACTGTTTATTATCTTCATTGCATTTCTCACTTTTGGAATTACCTGCTCATTCATTTGTTGTCTACATCCGCCCACTAGAATGTAAGCTCCATGAGGCCATGCCTTGTTTGTTCTCTTCTGTATCCCCAGTGCCTGGCACATAGCATGGGCATAGTAAATGCTAACTCTTGTTATGTTTATTGTTGTTAACATTATGATGCTTCTTTGAACTCCTTGAAGGCAAGGACAATATCTTCTCATCTCTCTATCCCTACTGCTTAACATAGTAGGCACTCACTATTTTATTGCAGAATGAAGTAATGAGCCACTAAATATTAAATGCCTAGAACAGTTACCTGGAACATAGTAAACATACAATGAATGTTTGCTATTATTTTTTTCTTCCGTGAATGAATTTGAGTGATTCTTTAGAAAACGAAAACATGTAATATAGAATCTAAATCACAAGAGGTAACCTGGCTTTGCCTCCCTTTGGTTTTCTTGCTCCTCCCTCCCGTGAACTTCTAAGGCACTTAATTGTTTTTAGATTTATCACCTAGTCTTTTCTAGCCCTTTTTCCCCAGTCTTATTGGGAAGGAAGAGAGGAAGAGAGAGGGCTGGGCCGGCCCCCTCTCAGGAAAGGAAGCAAAAATAGCCATCCTGTAGTTGTTCTATCCTGAAAAATGGTGACAATTTCAGGAACTTGGGACAGGGCTGGTGCCAAGAAAGGGGAACGTCAGGAAACCCCGGCTGAAGTCAGAGTCACCTCTGCCAAAAACACCGACCGACCGGTTCGCTCCAGCCTGGTTCATTCCATTCTCTCCTGAAGCTGCTTTACTTGCCTTCCTGGAGCCAGACTCTGGATAGTACTGGTGCAGGCTGCTCCTGAGCCCGGAATCTTTAGGAAGGAAGTACATCCTGTCCCTTGGACTCCTGGGAAACTCCTAGGTTGGCTAGACTCCCAGTAGGTTTGGCTGGAAGTCTTAGATCCTGGGGACCTTGACAAGAAAATAACTGGAATCTGACTAGTGGATCCCCAGGGTGAGCACTTCTACTCTGCCCGGTCTGTTCCTCTGACTGGCTCCAAGGGCTTGCTTGTCCTCCTTGCCACCCAGAGCTAAGCTGAATCTCACGGAGGTTGGTGAGATGACCAGCTCCAGGCTCTGGAAGACTGGTCCCAGACCTGGTTCCTGGTACCATAAGGAAAAGCAGAAGCATCTTTTTTACCATTGCCTAGGGCCTTAGCCTCTGCCAGGGAATCGGGCTTATCAAGAAGAGAATGAGTGGGGCTGGCTGGGTGGTGCTTTGGTTAAGAGTTGGCTTGGGACGCCAGCTCTGAGCAGCAGGGCCCTGGTTTGGATCCCACATGAGGGCCAGTGATACTGCGCCCTCTACAGCTAAGATGGTGAACAACAGCTCCACCTGGAGCTGGGCTGCTGTGAGTCGCTGCCGATGGCGTAGGCTGCAGCCCCTGCTGGAATGGGCTGCCATAAGCTACCGTGAGTGCTGGCAGCCGGCATGAGCTGCCATGAGCCACTGTGAGTGGCCATCCAATGGCCAGGGAGTGACTGCCTCACCTGGGACGAGCACAATGATAATACCAATATGGGCCAGTGAAGCAGCGTTCTACACAAATAGACTGAAGAACAAAAGGACAGCAACTTGTCTGTTCCCCTTCCCCGATTCCCCAACGCTGTTCCCCTCCCGCAATTCCCCAGTAAAATCTTTAAAAAAAAAAAAAAAAAGAATGAGTGGATGGTCAGTGTCTTTCCTCCCATCCCCTTCTGGCTCCTCTGCTGACTCCTGTCTTCTTTCCTCTCTCCTGCTCACAGCACTGAGACTATGAGGCTCTGACCTCCCCTGGCCACTCACTCGTGACCCTTCCACCACGGCGGAGCCTTCCAAGCCAACCTCCTGCCGTGTGGTGATCTACCTGCAGCGGGAGATGTCGGGGGATACCTGCCTGTGCCCAGCCTCAGGGGCTAAGCCCAAGCTGAGCGGCTTCAGGGGAGGAAACCTGGGCAACAAATACGTCCAGCTCAATGTGGGTGGTTCCCTGTACTACACCACCGTGCGGGCGCTAACCAGGCATGACACCATGCTCAAGGCCATGTTCAGCGGGCGCATGGAGGTGCTGACTGACAAAGAAGGTGAGGTATTGGCGCTTGGGGAGGTAGGAGTTCAGGGAAGTGACTTCAGGGCAGGCCTTAAGCCTGGCGGGTCTAGAGTCTTAAGTTCACGTCTCCAGTTCACCTCGTACAGGATTCCTTTCCCTGGAGTCCTTAGAAATTGTACATATAGAGTGTTGTGTGTTTACGCATTTTCCAGGGAGACAATCCATACTTTTGTTTTTTATTCACATAGGACTAGGTTCTCCTAGGAAGCTTCGCCGTAGTGACAGGGGGCAGAAGGCAGGCAGGGCCTGATGTTTTCTGTGCTGTCGGGCAGCAGGCCTGGTGCTCCTGAGCTTAGACCTCTGTAGCCTCCACAGAGCCCGGAGGGCCTGTCTCTATCAGGATACGTGTCAGTTCTTGGTTTCGGGGAGGAGGAGTGAAGAGCAGCCATGGACCTAAGAGCTAGAGGTTCTGTTCCCATTTATTACCCTGTGCTGTGGGCCCTATGCGCTGTGCTCTTTGCCACCTGTCACCAGGCTCGTCAGGTGCTGCCTGCTTCTGAGGTACCTGGAGGCAAACAGTAACCCTCTGGGACCCATCTGAATCCCTAGGCTGGATCCTCATAGATCGATGTGGAAAGCACTTTGGCACCATTTTGAATTACCTCCGCGACGACACCATCATTCTCCCTCAGAGCCGGCAAGAAATCAAGGAACTGATGGCTGAAGCGAAATATTACCTCATTCAGGGGCTGGTGAACATGTGCCAGACAGCCCTGCAGGTACAGAGGCAGAGTTGGGGCCAGTTGATGAGGTTTGGGGATATAAGGGTTCAGTCTCTCGAAGGCCATGTGGCAGGTATGTTTAATGAGTCCAAACCTAGGTAGAGACACCAGGTGTTGCCCAGGCTGAACAAGTGGGCAGCCAGTCAGTTTGTAAGGTGACGGACTCAGGCAGTATGCCTAGGCCTTGCTTCTAGTTTATAGCCTAGATATCTAGATTTTAGGTTTTCTGCAAACAGGAGTCTGCTTGCCACCTGGCAGTTCCTGTTACCGGGGCCTCCTGATCACTGTCTAATGCCTCCTCGACAAGCAGGGGGTGGCCATGGCAGAGGGGTTCTGACAGCTCCAGGGGAAAGCCTGGCAAACAGAAGATCTTAAAAAAGATTCTCGACTGTGTGTGTCACCCAGGACAAGAAGGATTCCTACCAGCCTGTGTGCAACATCCCTGTCATCACATCCCTGAAGGAGGAGGAGAGGCTTATCGAAGCCTCCACCAAGGTACTGGGACCTCTGAGGGGCCTGTGAGGGCTACCAGCAGGGGATGCCAGGCCCTGGGTCGGCCCTCATACTCCCCTCCCTCACAGCCCGTGGTGAAGCTGCTGTACAATAGAAGCAACAACAAGTATTCCTACACCAGGTAGGGTGGGCCTTG